TATATATATATATATATGGTGGATATGCTTTCTAATATTTGAGAGTAAGGTTATTAAAAATGCTCATTGTTCATAAAGAGCTTGTATTCGATTTTGCTGTTAAGCAAGTGAGTCAAACACGAATAATTTTTTTGAGTTCGATTTATGCACGAGCCAAAATGCTCGGCTTATTTGCCAATAATTAATTAAATAATAATATTTATTATTATTTATTTAAAATTTTATTATAATTATACATTTTTATTAATTATTCTCATTTTTATTCATTGAGGCTGACCCCGCAAGTCGAGTTTAGGTTAGGATTTAGGAAGCATAAATCGAAAGTCGGCATGTGGAGTTTGTGGGGACAATTGAATTGCATCTAATGGCTTGGAGTCTGTTTCATATGACTCAAATTCATATGTTACTATTAAATATGATGATTCATACTTAGCTATAGGAGAAACCAAATCAATAGGAGATAACATACTTCTAGGAATGGAGGTAAAAGAGACAACCATTATAGGAATACTAGTGAATGATATCTCTAAAATAGCTAAAGTTGAAACTCCTTACGAGACACTATGACTCCAGTAGGTTTTTTGATTGGTTAGTCCAAATGGATAATTTTTTTTATTGTCGAATGCTTACTAAAGAGTTGCATTTGTAAAAATAAAATTGATTGAACATGCTAAGATTTATTGGAATAATATCTTAATTAAAGAATGAATGTTATGAAAGATCATATTTACTTGGATTTAAATGAAAGCGATGTTAAGAACTAAATATTGTTCTATGCATTATTATAAGAAATTACATGGGCAATTATTGTTTTTAAAACAAGATAATTTTCCTGTAGCTGAATATTTGAACACTTTAGAAGATCATATTGTTAGGATCAATTGCATTGACAATAATTGGTAACTGACCAATAAATTTGTTATTGAATTTAGGTTAGATTTTAAGAATAAGTTTGACTTATTTGGTTCCTAAATTTAATATGATGCTTCCATTGCGCTTTATTAGTACAAAACTAAAAAAATCTACTTATCTTAAAATTAAAATTGGACCCACTCCACCTACCATCGAAAACTATTTGTTTAAAGCTCCTATTAATGAGAGTTCTAAAACTAATGAGGACCGAAGAATGAAATTTATTTAAAATTCTATAAAAATGGTCATATAC